CCGGCTGCCGACGGACCGTATCGCCGCAACGACATCGCGCACGAGGACATGGCTCAGTCGGCACCAGCTCCTTATCGGCGGCCCCGCCCTGGCCCACGACGGCGACCTCGCATCTGGCAAATCGGCGCCCTCGATTCATCACAACTCGCGGTTACCGGCCGCTCGATCTCGACGACAACCGCATGCGCGGGCGATGGGCTCGATACGGCCAGGGACGAGGGACGAGGGATCAGCAGGGGGGAAAGATAGGAGTGATGGTCGCGTACGAATGAATGCACGTATAAATCCTCGATATCCATGTACCCTAGCGACAGCATCCGGCTCACCCAACGTCTGGACGATATATACCTTGTTCCCCTTTCATCTACGAGCAATACAGCGACTACCGACAGCGACTACCGACAGCGACTATCGACTACCGACCACCGACACCGACCGCCTCATCGACTCTAATCCTCATCGCGCGCTTCGCGCGCCTCCCAACGCTTCCACACTTCACTCACCCGGCAGCCACTGTTTAGCCTCGAGGACTCGCGCATATCAATTATCGCGTCGCCCAGCCCACCGGCTTCGCACCTCTACAACTGGAGCCCACCGCGAGGGTTTTTCGAACTCACAACCTGCCGATCTTCACCATATCTTAACCAATCATCACGTCTCTACCTCGCGACGCTCGTGGTCGCTTCCTCCCTCGACGACATCTCTCAGCAGCTACCACTACACCGACTCAGCCTCTAGCGCCTCCGTCATCCCTCCCTAGTCTCTCCCGCTCCCTCCAAGAAGAACTCCAGGCGGCTGCGCAGCTTTCGCCTCCACCGCATCCGTCTATCACTCCTCATTCACCTATCCCTAGTAACTCTCCTACTGGTACCTCTACCATGGCGACCCCTATGCCTGCGCGACACGATCACAGTGCGCCGGTCTTCAAGACTACTGCCGACCTTCCCGGATATCTCGACGAACTCGAACGTCTATTTAGCGAACATGGTGTCACCGGGGAACGCGAGAAAGTCAATGCTTCTCTTCGTTACCTACCGCATCTCGAAACTCGTGTCTGGAAGTCTGTTGGTGCCTTCACAGATCTGACGAAGACCTGGGACGAATTCAAGGCCGAAGTTATTAAACTTTATCCAGGGTCGTCCATCGAAGGACAAACTACTCGTGGCGACCTAGAAACTCTGGTCAATGCACGCGCGGCCTCTCCCATCTTGACTCGCGCGGAACTGGGTGAATACAACCGGCGGTTCAAGGTTCTCGCCGACGACCTACTCAAGAAGCACGGCGGGAAGATCTTCTCCGACAATGAAGCAAACTACGCCTACCTTCGAGGTTTCATGGCCGGCGACTTCCGGAAGAATCTCATTATGCGCCTAACCCTCACCAACCCCGACCATGACAGCGAGCTAGCTTACGATCGCAACAAGGTTTTCACCGAGGCAGACGCTATTCTCTCGGGGCATCGCGGCGCCGCCTCTCTCCTCGAACCCTCGGGATTTACGACCACGGTTAAACAAGAGGACCTCTCATCGGCTCTCAAAGCGCAGGCGTCGGCCTTCGACTCGCGCATGGCATCACTTGAGTCAATGTTCTCTTCGTTCATGACCGCACTCGCTCCGGGATCCGCAGCAGCTTCTCCCAGCATCTCTCGACCTCCCCCACAAAGTCAGCCAGCCCCGTCTAGCAACTCAGGTTGCCACTTCTGCGGTGGATCATGCATTATCAGGAACTGCCCGGAGGTAGCTCGTTACATTGCTCTTGGTCTTCTCTCACGTGGCGCGGACGGACGGCTCGTTCTTCCTGGCGGCACATACATACCAGGTAACCGCGGGAACCCCAGCTCGTATATGAAGGATCGGGTGGACGAATGGCACCGCACTCATCCGGGCCAGGTGGTTTCAACCCCACGCGACAATTCTACGTCTACCACGCGCGATCAGCCACCGCACCTAACCAGCAACTTTGTCACGTTCTCGGCATCCTGTCCCGCCACTTCGGCTTCTGGGTTCTCCCTCGAAGCAACGCACCCTTCCTCAGCGCGCATTATCGAGCTCGAAGACGACGATACCGATCCAATCCAACAATACTTGCGCCACCAGATCTCGTCATGCGCTCCCAGTGATCCTCGCATTCGAGTATTCGAAGCGCAGCTCAGCGAACGTCGCGCAGAGGTGGCCAAAGGGATCGAAAAAGCCCGGACTTCGACACGTGCCAACAAAGGGAAGGCCGCGGTCCGTTTCGCCGACGAGCAGCACGACGGACGCGCCAACGACGACATCCGCAATCGGCCCGCGCCTGTCCCGATTCACGAAGACACGCCCGAACGCGAACCTTCGCCACCGCCCGCACCTCTTCGCTCACCCGCACCGACCTCGTCCTCGCTACCGGCGGCCTTGCATCCAGCTCAGATTCCCTCAGCAACTGCTGCTCCTGGACCTCGCCCGCCCGTTAACGCGCCTCAGTCTGCTCGTGTCATCTACCCGCCGAAGGCACCGCGCCCTGCTGGGCACTCTGGCGTTCGGACCGTCGCGCCTATTGAGGAGGATCTAGCCGTCGACAAACTTGTTGACAACTTTCTCGATTCGCCGCTGCAAAGTATGACCGGCCGTCAGCTTCTTGGCGCATCTTATGCTGCTCGGCGTGAACTCGCTTCTCGTATCACGCCTCGCAAGGTACCCACTGCCGCCGACACTTCCGCAACGACACTTTACTCCTCCGGCCCACCTCCTTCCATCGCATTCGAGTGTGACGACTGTGGCGAGACTCATGATCACGCCTCAGCACGCCAGCTCCAGAAACTCCGCGTTCTCCGCCCGCTCATCTCGAACCAAGTACAAGCCGAATGCGTGATAGACTCCGGGTCAGAGGGCGTCATGATGCGCAAGGACGTCTGGGCGGCTACCGGTTTACCTCTCTATGTCGACGACGCCATCAACATCACAGCCGCGAACTCCACTACTACACGTACCCTAGGCGGCCTCCGCAACGTCCTATTCAACATTGGCGGCATGGAGATCTACCTCCAGGTTCAAGTCATTGAAGATGCGCCTTGGGAGGTCCTCCTCGGTCGCTCATTCTTCACCCACACGGCTTGCGAAACGAAGGACTCACCTGATGGATCATCGCTGCTCACTCTCACACACCCGGAGACTGGTGAACGCGTCCAAGTTCCGACGCTCGAGCGCCCAAAACGGCATTCTCCCCGCAAGATCCAGGGTTTTGTTTAGGTGTCAATGACGCGGTCCCACACCGTCGAGACACTCCGCTGTCCACTATACCCATCTCTCGTTCTTGTCCCCAGTGTTTCCTCAGCTCCTCCGTATCTGGTCTCTCCAGTTCAGTCCGCAACTCTCAAGTCTCCTTTTCCGACCTTCCCAATACTCCGGTAAACCTAATCAACACTTACGTCTGTCAAGTCGCGCCCGTCCCTCCTCGAGCTTCTCCTTCCCATACCTGCGTCTCTTCCCTTCTTTTCCAGGATACGCGTGCGAGTTCGACCTTATACATGCCGCTGCCGGCGCCACCTCCTCCATCGCTATCATCGTCTGCGCTCATCCCCGCATCGGTCTTCTCTTTCTGCGGCGAATCCACTCTATCTTCTCTGGGCTGGGACTCCATACCTCTCGGAGATCTCAAACTATCTCACCGCTCTACGGTTTTTGAGCTCGAACTTTTCAGCTTCTCGCCTACTGCCGACACCGACAATGGGTCTTCCGCTTTTGGTTCAAAGTACAAGAAGGTCGCAAAGCGAACGTTTCCAGTATCAACTATTACGCCCGAAGAGTTCCGTATCGTCCGCCGCTACCTGCCCGACATCTTATCTAGTATGAAACCTCTGCCTGCCAACCCGCCTTCCTTCCAGCCCGGCACGCGCTACACCGAGGAACGAAGGCGCGCTCAAAATATCGACCCATCCGGCTTCCTCCTTCCAAGCGAGATTGACCTCGTGCACTGGATTCTTCGAGAGAACGAGGGTGCACTTGCCTGGAGCGAACTAGAGAAGGGCTCCTTCTCCGACGAGTGGTTCGATCCCATCCAGATTCCGACTGTCGACCACGTTCCGTGGGTCCTCAAGAATATCCCGCTTCCACCAGGTATCCGCAACAAGGTTATCGAGATCATCAAGTCGAAGATCGCTGCGGGTACTTACGAACCGTCGAACTCTTCGTACCGATCTGCGTGGTTCTGCGTTCTCAAAAAAGATGGCACTTCCTTGCGACTCGTGCATGATCTGCAGCCCCTCAATGCCGTGACGATACGTGATGCTGCCGTTCCACCCAATATGGACCAAATGGCCGAGGACTTCGCCTGCCGCGCATGCTACGGTGTTCTCGACCTCTTCGTGGCCTTCGACCAGCGCTCACTCGACTCACGCTCTCGCGACTACACCACCTTCCAGACACCGCTCGGCACCTTCCGTCTAACCGCCATTCCCATGGGCTACACAAACGCTGCGCAAATAATGCAGGGCGACATCACCTTTATCCTCCAGGACGAAATTCCAGAGTACACGACTCCGTACATCGATGACGTACCGGTGAAGGGCCCTCGAACCCGACATGAACTCTCCGACGGCTCATACGAGGTCCTTTCAGCGAACCCTGGTATCCGTCGGTTTGTTTTCGACCATCTCACAACGATGCATCGCATCCTCCATCGTATGGGTGTCTTTGGTGGTACCTTCTCCGGTCCAAAGTCGATCCTATGCGCTCCGACAATCGAACTTGTCGGCAATCACTGCTCATACGAGGGCCGCATTCCTGATCAGTCTCGCATTCGGGTCATTCTCGACTGGCCACCCTGTTCCTCGCTCACCGACGTGCGGTCTTTCCTCGGCACCTGTGGCGTTATGCGCGTTTTTATCAAGGACTTTGCGCGAATTGCCCGCCCTCTCGTGCGCCTCACACGCAAAGACTCGCCGTTCGAGTGGGGCAGTGCGCAGCAGGAATCCATGGACTTACTCAAAAACGCCTTCGCAACATCCGGCACGTTACGACCCATCGACTACTCATGCGACCGTTCGGTGTTCTTGTCTGTCGATTCCTCAATTATCGCGGTTGGCTATGTCCTTTCCCAGCTTGGCCTCGACGGACGCCGATATCCAGCGCGCTTCGGCTCTATTCCGTGGAATGAGCGCGAGTCTCGCTATAGCCAGCCGAAGGTCGAGCTTTATGGCCTCTTTTGCGCGCTCCACGAGGAGCGGATTCATCTCGTCGGCGTGAAAGACCTGGTGGTCGAAATGGACGCCTCCAGCGTCAAGGGGATGTTGAATAACCCCGATCTGCAGCCGAACGCGACGATCAATCGCTGGATCGCAGCTGTCAAACTCTTCAACTTCCGCCTCGTTCACGTTCCCGCAACTTCACACAAGGGTCCAGACGGGCTGTCTCGACGCCCCCCTGCTACTCACGAGTCTCTCGACACCGCTGCCGCCGCAAATGATTGGATTGACGAGGCCTACGGCTTCTCTGTCATAGCCAACTCGGGTCATTCTTCTTGCGCGCCGCCAACTGCCTGCTTGTTCAGCCTCGACCCTCTGCCATCCGATCACAGCCTCGCTCATCTCCCACTACCTCCGCGTAACGAGAAAGCTTCTGCCGCCGACGACCGCGTTCGACTCGTCGAAAGCTACCTCCGCGATCCGCTCGCTAAACTACCTGTCGAACCCGGTCAGCTACAAGGTTTCATTCGGTACGCTCACGACTTCTTCCTCTTCGACAACCGACTCTGGCGACGAAGCGCCGATGGTGCTCATCAACTGGTTATATTTGACCCGGCGCGCCGCCTCTCGCTGCTGCAGCAGGCACACGATGCACTCGGTCACAAGGGCAAATTTGTAACTCGGCAGCATCTTCTTCTCCGTTTTTGGTGGCCTCATCTTGATGCGGACGTCTCCTGGTTCGACGACACCTGCCTGGAGTGTCAGAAGCGGCGCACCCATCATGTCACAATCCCTCCAACCGTCGCGTACCCGGCGCCACTGTTCCGGAAGATATATTGTGATACAATGCACATGCCCCCGGCGAATAAGTTCAAATACATCGTCCACGGGCGTTGCTCGCTTACCGGATGGCCCGAATGGCGCGCGCTTCGTGTCGAAAACGCTGAGCAGATCGGACGCTGGCTATTCGAGGACGTGCTGTGCCGATGGGGAGGAGTTGAAGAGATCGTCACTGATAACGGACCACAGTTCATCGCCGCTACCACATGGCTCTCGACGAAATACGGCATCCATCGGATTCGGATTTCCCCTTACAACTCACGCGCCAATCTGGTCGAGCGTCGTCACTTTGACGTCCGCGAAGCCATAGTCAAGACAGCGGGAGATGACGTCTCCCACTGGTACAAGTACGCGCACCACGTTTTCTGGGCCGAACGGGTAACCGTTCAGCGCTCCACGGGTCACTCGCCATTTTACATGGCCCACGGTGTCGAACCCGTCCTTCCCTTCGATCTTGAGGAAGCGACCTGGCTTGTGAATTATCCTACTGATTCTCTGCCGGCTTCGACGACCGATCTGCTTGCCGCACGCGCTCGAGCCCTTCAAAAACGCGACACCGACCTCGAAAACCTGCGGGAACGTGTCTTTTCCGCTCGCGTCGCTTCTACCACTCGCTCGGCTGCTCGCAATGCCACCAAAATCCTCGACTACAACTTCGATTCTGGCGCTCTCGTACTCGTGCGGAATTCCGACAACGAAAAGAACCTATCCGGCAAGACGAACCCACGATACCTTGGTCCCATGGTCGTCGTGCGACGTAACACCGGTGGCGCTTACGTTCTCGCCGAGCTCGACGGGTCTCTCTCTCGTCTTCGGTACGCCGCTGCTCGTCTTGTTCCATACCACGCGCACTCCCGAATCGATGTCGACATCTCCCATCTCACTGGCCTTTCCGTCGATGACCTTACCGCGTTCACCGCCGACGACCCGGTTGAAGAGCTGTATCCCGAGCCCGACCCTCCCGCACTTGTGCCCGAAGATTCAGGCGACTCTCCTGGCTGAGAAGTATCGCGCTTGCTCCCTCGAATCCTTCCCCATGTCTCCATTCTGTTGCTCTATCTCGTCTCCGTTTCTCCCATCCCTTCCTTGCTGCGCTCGTTCGGGATCCGCTGAGGACGCTTGCGCCCGATGATGCTGTCATACGTGCGCAAGAGTGTGCTTTCGGGCCCTCGCACAGACACCCGTTCACCGTTGCCTCCCAGAACCAGGTCTCTCTTATTGACATCCACACCTATATTTATTCGCCGAATTCACTTGATTGGACAACACCGCCGTCCCCGTCTCACGCCCCCGTCTCACCTTCACTCTCCGGTAGTGACCCGGGAGGGTCACTGGTTTTTACTTGGGGGGGGATGTGGCGCTCTGACTTCGCGCGCGTCCGGACACGCACTTGATTGCGCTACTCAACGCCCGGTGGCAGTGCGGTGGCCTCTCGCTCTCGCCTCGACGACCTCACTCTTTCCCGGCTCGGCATGGCGCTCACACAACATCTTCCAGCACCCGGCTGCCGACGGACCGTATCGCCGCAACGACATCGCGCACGAGGACATGGCTCAGTCGGCACCAGCTCCTTATCGGCGGCCCCGCCCTGGCCCACGACGGCGACCTCGCATCTGGCAAATCGGCGCCCTCGATTCATCACAACTCGCGGTTACCGGCCGCTCGATCTCGACGACAACCGCATGCGCGGGCGATGGGCTCGATACGGCCAGGGACGAGGGACGAGGGATCAGCAGGGGGGAAAGATAGGAGTGATGGTCGCGTACGAA